ACATGGATAGGCAGGCTGGCGTGCTGGCTTAGCGCTGTAGGAGGTAGGCTGGTTTGGCTGCTAGCTGGTAAGTCTTCTCGCCACAGCCTGCCTCTGGCACCCAGCCCCTCTCTTCCCCAACATCTCTGCCCCCCCACACTCAACATACCCAAACCTAATACACAAACTTTCTCATTCTGGGCCAGATTCAGCCTGTGTACACTTCCCTTTCTGTTTGATGCCAGCATGTAAGAATTAGGCATTCCATCTTTTTCTCCCTCAGTTGACATAGAGAGGGAGCTTTGAGTGCTGTGAAAATGGCACACTCTACTTCTGGGGGTAGTACAGGGATTAGTCTTGGGATATTCTACAATTATACCTGCTAATTTATTAGCATTAGGTGAACTTCCCAGGGAGCTCAATCTATCCCTGTCAGCATGAGGACTATAGTTAAAAAAAGCAAAGCTGAGATTTCCCCCCCACCCTCCCATCAAAAATTATTGCCCACCTCTGAACTAGTAGTTAGACTGGACAGAAAAAAGCTATTAATTAATTTTGAGGCTCTAAGTGTATGTTTAGCAAATTTGTGATGAGATTCAATTGAAGCTGTTTTTAAATGAGAAATTTAATATTTTATTGAGGATTTTAAAAAAATTAAAAATATTTTTAAATTTAAAAATCACATTTTTATTTTAAAAAATAATCAATTTCAGGGTGGATTTGATTTAAATCACTGGTCAGGAAGATTAGATGTAATCATGGTTTTCTTCATAAAAGTGCATTCTTGTTAATTGTTATAACCTTAGTACATATTCTTCACGACTCAAAGATGGATGTAGGTTTTGTTTTTAGAAGGTACACACTATATATTTTTAGACAGTGATTTATTTTGAAAACTTTTCACGGCTATATCAGAAAATGAATGATTGATTATTTCGTTTTCCAAAGGCAATTGAAGAAGATATTTATGAAGTCATTGGGAGGTGAACTATCTGCAATTCAACAGGTTAATTATTAGTATTTGGAGAATTTTCTGTATTAGGAGGAGAACGTCATCAGACAGACATTGTTTTATTTAACAAAAAATAATTTTTTTTTGGGGGGGGGGGTCATTCCAAGAATTTGGTAAGTCATCAAAGGCCACACTCTTCCATGGAATTATGGGTGCAGGAGGGTGTGCAGGGTCTGGGAAGGGATTATGACTGGGGTGCAAGAGGAGATGCAAGGATCTGGGTTGTGACCAGAGGTAGGGAATTGGCATGCAGTGTGTTGGAGGATGTTGTAACCTGGAGGAGGTGTAGTAGGAGGGGATGCAGGATCTGGGAGGAGGTAGGAATGTAGGAGAGGAGCAAAGAGTTGGAGGGAGGGAGCGGCTGGGGTGCCAAAGACAGGCTGTGGTCAGGAGACACTTACCTGGCTGGCTCCCGACCATCAGCCCAGCAGGTTCCTCAGCCAGGGTCCCTGCCTTCCATGCCCCTGCACTGGCTGTGGGGGTAATGTGAATTCTGTGAGCCTGTAGAGAGAGGGGTACTTTGTGTGCTGCCCGTCTTGCAAACAGACAGCTCCTATTGGCCAGAAACCGGCCATTAGGAGCTGTGAGATTGTGCAAGGGGTAGGGGCAGCTCTCAAAGCCTCTGCTCTTCTCCTCTTGGGTTCACAGCATATAGAGAGTTTCTCTGAGCAGCATGCGGGGGCGGAGCCAGCAGGGAGCCTGGCTGAGACTTCTGTGGGCCAGATCTAGTGGCCACATTGGTGACGTAACGGGAAGAAGGGGGTGCCCCGTCTATGTCCCCCTGTCCCCTCTATCCAGAGAAGGGCTGGAACAGCCCTCTTCTGCTTTGGGCCCTGCTTCTCCCTCTGCCTTCCTTTGGGCCCTGCTTCTCCCTCTGCCATGCTCCACCTGGGGGACTGACTGGCTGTGACAGAGGTCTACACTGCACTGAGGCTGTGACAGAGGTCTTCACTGCACCCCTCCTGTACTCACTGATGGCAACAGGAAAGGTGTGGGCTGGAGTCACCTGGCCTGTGCCTTCTCCACTGCAGGTGGGTGCCCCACTGGACCCCCTGCGTGTCTGTGCTATGGCCCTACCCCTACATTTACCAGCAGTGGTGGGGAGGCTCAATCTGTCCTACCCCTCCCCTGGAGCAACGTGGCTGGCTAGCAGTGCCACTTGGACTGACCCGCCTGGCCTGTGCCTTCTGCACCACCAGCGAGTGTGGGAGGATGGGACACTCCTGCTGCCAATGCTGGCCCCCTGGGTGCTAGCCCCCCCTGCCAGGTTCTGGCCGGCCCCTTCCCCTCTTGGGAGGTGCATGTGGCCCTGCATGCACTCCCTACGTATTGCCTGTGGTGGGCTAGATCTGGCCCACTGGCCATATTTTGCCCACCCCAGTCTAATGGTTATGGTGTTAACTAATCTCCTTAACCCCTGGTTCAATTCCCTCCTGTGTCCCAGGTTCCCCTGAGACTTTGCGTTAGTCTTTGCTAGGCCTGGCTTTTATGACCTGTAAAATTTAGGTAACCCTGCTCTGCCCGATGGGTATTGTGACAATAAATACATTACAGATTGTGAGATACACAGATAATATGGTAACGGGTGCTATACAAGTTCCACTGTAGTGTAGAATCTTCCTATATCAACAAAAAGGGATTTTCCCCTCAGTGTAATTAATTCACCTCTCCAAGAGGCAGTATCTAGTTTGATGGAAGAATTATTCCATCGATTTGGCCATTTCTACAGCCTGGGCAAGGTTGACCTAACTATGTCACACAAGTCATAAAAGTTTTCTCAGCCCTGACAGATGCAGTTAGGTTGATCTAATTTTTACATGTAGTTCAGACCTTAAATGAAGAATATAGGAAAATAGTGGTTTTCTTGTTTATGCTTGGTTTTGGCTATGGAATGGAATGGTAGGGGTCCAACGTCTAGTAAAGCTGTGTATGGAATCAAGCAGTTAATCCATCATGATGAATGTATTCAAAGACAATAAAGAATCTAATGTGCAAGAGGAGCAGTGGTCATGTATTCTGCAAGCAAAGATGGGCAAGATGTGCCATATGCTACTTGCTGACTGCTTGACCTGTGCCTGTACTGTGGTGCCCTCAGTTTTCAGAAATGCTTTCCAACTTGACTTTTAAACTAAGCTAACAGTCTAGAAAACGAGCTGCTCCCTATAAATTCAGCCCACAAGCTACCATTTTAACTGCAGAATAAGCTACTGTTCTGCTCCTTCCTATGGCACTGACCCTTCAGTCATTTATTTCTGATGGCTGTGCATGAAAAAAATCCAAATAATCTGTGCGAAGTACTAGCTCCTTCTGACTTTCTGCAGCTTACTCTACTGCCCTGATGCCCCCCAGCTTCATCCTATCACAGAGCTCCTCTTGTAGCTCTAATGTGACTGCTTGTGAAATAAGTCAGGATTGAGGAATTATGGCCTGTTGGAGGGTTGATGTGGAGTGCACAATAACACTTCTCAGGTTCTGGCTGAAGTTCAGCTGTTGTGATTGAACATAGGGACGTTAATAAGCATGTAATTTGTAAATCGTGTAGTTGACAAAAATGTTGTCCACTACACAATTAATTAGTAAGGGTTAGCATTGCAAGCACTCAGTCCCAATTCTTACCCCCTGTGGCTCTGCATTAGAAGCACTCTAACAGCCGGTGTACAGGCAGACTGGCTCAGTCCTAGCTCGAGTCAAGTCCCGGCAGCTACCCCTGCTGTGGCTCTGCATTAGAAGCACTCTGCAGTGGGGGTTGATGCTGGGCACGAGCCAGGACTTAACCAGTCTGCCTGTGCACCGGCTCTTAAAGTGTTTCTAATGTAGAGCTGCAGTAGGGGTTGCTGCCAGGATCCAGACTGAGCCAGCCTGTTTGCCAGACCGCTACAAAATTTACTTGAAAAGCTGTGGGAGATGGAGGATTGCATGTAGCCAATAGCGTTAACCAATAAGCACCTGCTTATCAGTTAATTGTTTAATCGACTACACTATTACATTGCTAGTTGAACATAGATCTGTTGAAAGAACAAAGCTCCTCTCTTGTTTTTTCTAAACAGCTATAATCTCCTTTCCTCTTCCCCTTTCAAGAAATCAGTGCCTCATGTAGACAAGAGGGCTAGCAATCCTTCAGAGCATTTCAGGAAACATGGTAAAACAGAGTCTTAAAGCTATGAAAGGAGGAGACTCATAAGCAGAGGCAGACACCCAGTATTCACCCAGCATCATTCTGTAGCTTGACTGCTTCACATGCATTAACATTTCAATTTCTATGGTGTGATTTCTCTTTTTTTTTCCCCCTGTAGCTTGGAGACCCCTTAGAAGCCTTCCCAGTGTTCAAGAAATACGACAGGAATGGGTGAGCTCCTTACATACTCCTTCACAACAGCATGGTCCAGTGGCTAAGGCAATGCACTGGAACCAACTGAACTTTAATCCCAGATTTGCCACTGTCCTGTTTTCTGACCTCAGGAAAGTCCCTTCTATGCTATGTACCTCATGTTTCTCTTCCCCACGCTTTACCTGTTTATACTGCACGCTCTTCAGGGCAGAGGCTCTCTTACCATGGGCCTGTGCTGCACCTGGCACAACAAGGCTCTCCCATCCTAGATCCAGTTGTATGAATGTGCACTTTAGATCCTACCATAATATAGCTACTAAAAATAAAGTTTTTTGAGCAACTTTGAGGTAGTGAGGGGAAGATAAAGCCACTGTTGATGCTAGAACAGGTTGTGAAGGAAAATATAACACAAAGTATTTGCCTTGTCTGCTAATGCCCATCATTTTCTGTGAAAGATGAGGTTACAGCATAGAGAGAGATAATTTGGTTTCAGTTGTGGGAAGAAGTAGATTCAACTAGGCAGTGGATATGTTGGGACTTTAATTACTAGTGGTATGTTAGTCCTGTAAGGCCCCAAATGAAGGATGGGGTCAGCAAGGACCCCGTGAGACGATACAATCTGTATCTTAAAGAGCTTCCAATCTGAATAACCAAAGGAAGGATTATTCTTCCCACATTATGACGGGAGGAACTGAGGCCCAGAAAAGTTCAGTGACTTGGCCAACGTCTCACAGGAAGTCTGCCATAGAACTGGCAATTGACCTTCGGTCTCCTGAATTCCAGCATGAGGCCAGCCTCTGTCTGCCTGGCTCTTTTTTGTCATCTTCATGCCCATAATGGTAGGCTGAATTCCTGGTGCTAGGATAGTACAGTGTCTGGGTGTTTTTAGATACATAAATTCAACAGAAACGCTTGTGTGTAAAGCTGAGGTCAGGATACAAATGCCCTCTTCATCATCTGTGGCTGGGTAGGCTTTCCTGTACAGTTAGTGTGACCCACTGGTGAGTGTGTTTTACAGATCCTTTTGTATGCCTAATCTGCACAGAGGGGTGTCTGCTATAGCCCTAGCTAGGAAGCTTTTGGTTTTGAGCTCAAGTTGTAATAGCTAATGCTTTGAACTCTGGAGATCCCTGGTTCAGTCTGACCAGCCAGCCATCTTAAAAAAAAGCTGAAATTGCTTGAGTATGTTGGTGCTTGCCTGGTGCTAAATGCTGCTTTCCCATCTCTCTCTCCACAGTTTAAACGTTTCCATCGAGTGTAAAAGAGTGTCGGGCATGAACCAGGCTACAGTTGACTGGGCTTTCGAACTAACCAAAACAAATATGCAAACTCTGTAAGTCCCAAGACAAAATGGGGACCCTGTTCTTGGGGCAAGCTGGTGCTGAAAAGATTTCTGAGGGCTCTCTGGCAGCCACAGATACTGAAGTAAAACCTCCCCAACTTCAAGGCTACCAATGAGAACTGAACACCAGCCCTTGGGGATATAGTGAAGAAGTCCTGTCCCCTTCCACAATGCACACATCCTGGCAGATGCTTTCCTAGGCTATTGTAAAATAGCTTCAGTTCCCACTGGCTGTGCTTGTTGTGTTGTTCTGATCAACCTTGCATGGGGGCAGATGTCCTTCCTTTCATTCGAGACTGTATTCTGACTGGACTAGATGACCAATCATAGTCCCTTTGGATGCATCTACACAGCACCCTTACCTCGAAATAAACTACGCAATTTGTGCTATGCAAATAGTGTAGCTTATTTCGAGGTAATTTCAAAATAAATCACTAATCCGAAACATCCCTTAACTCTCATGCGATGAGGTTTACAGGGACATCAGAATAGCGAGCCCATTATATTTTTAACAGTATTATCTCAGGAGGAAAGGCAACAAGGGAGATTAGAACTGGGAATGAGCATGATTAACCAGCAAAATAACATAGTGATATTGTGGATTCTCTATCACTTGGATTTTTCAGATTAAGATCACATGTCTCTTACTAAAAATTATACATTCTTAACTTTGCTGTGTGTGGGAATCTGTGGGTGAGATTCTCTACCCTTTGTTGTGCAGGAGGTCTGGCTATGGGTATATCTAGATGAACAAGGCAAACAAAGGTGTAAATCTATAGCACTCCAGTATGCTGCAGTGCACTAAAAGTTCCCTAGTGTGCTTTGAATAATGCAGTTTGAAACAGAAGTAGATCAAAATGCACTAGGAAACTTTTTAGTGTGCAGTAACAGAGTCTGCACAGATATGTAGGGTGTGACCTGCTGGAGTGCTGTATATTTGCACCCCAAATTATCTTGCAGTAAGCATTTGTCTAGAAGTGCCCTAGATGATCATAATGGTTCCTCTGGCCTTGAAACCTATGTACCTTCTCATCTGGGTTTCTGTAGCTGGAAGGGAACATCAAGAGAGATTTTGAGAACAGTGTATGCAAGCAGCAAGGGGATGAGAGTGCTGAAACCCATCATGCTTTCTACAGAAGGAGCATTGAATGCTATTGTTCCTCTTCTCCCTGTCTGCAGGTACGAGCAGAGTGAATGGGGCTGGAAAGACCGTGAGAAGCGGGAGGAGATGACAGACGACAGAGCTTGGTATCTGATCGCTTGGGAAGATAGCTCTGTCCCTGTAGCATTCTCACACTTCCGCTTTGACGTGGAGTGTGGGGATGAAGTCCTGTACTGGTATGTGTCCCAGCACCTGCTCTCTTTGTTTTAGGAACAAGCATTGCCTTCTGCTCATCTCCTTTAAACAGAGAGAGAGAGAGAGAGAGAGTAGGGACGTGATTTGACACAGCATGATCTCTTGTCAAGAACAACCTAGAGAGGGAGCAGGGAGAAGAGGGCATGTCAGTGCCAAAGCCAGAAGTAGACTTCTCTATCTATCTGATTTCCAGTGCAGCCCCATCAGCTAGATCAGTGGTTCCCAACTTTTTTTATACCACGGACTGGCAAATTCATTAAAAAATCATTGGCGGACCAGCACGGAAATATTTGTATATTCATTATGGTAATTAATTAATGTTTATATTTGCATATTCGTTACGGTAATTTTAGCCCATGGTATATCAGGCAAATCAAACAAAGGGGGACATGATGGTTAACAAGAATTTGAAAAACTGCTGCACACACACATTTAAAAAAAACAAAATAGTTGCTGATACTTGTTAAAGGGTATTCTCCAGTCCAAACCTTTTGCCTCAATTGCACCAGAATTAGAGAGGCAGTATTTACAAGTCTGACAGTGCTGACACGTTCATATTTTCCTATGCACTTAATAATACATCATCATAATGTGTGTACCTGCTGACTGGGAGCAGCTGGAGGCCAGAGGAGGCTCTTGCCGAGTGGGGAGGGATGAGAATGCAGTTGTAGGAGCAGCCACCCTGCGTGTGGCACTTGGCCCTGCCGGCCAGGGCAGCCACTCTGCACAGTTTATCTTCCCCCTGTGTTCCCCAGCCAGAGTAAGGAATGCAGAAAATTGTGCACTTTTCCCTTGCTCCCTGATAAAGGGGAACAGGAAGCAATGTCCCCATACGAATCTAGGGGGTGGGAGGCTCGGGTGTGGGGAAGTCCTAGACAGAGAGGAGCTTACCTTCAGCCAGCCCTTGCACCTGCCCGGTGATTCTGTCTCTCTTCTTTATTTTTTTTATGTGAAGTAATCCCATTTTCCTTGCACAACCAAACCCTTGCCTTGCTTTAAGTTATGATAAGAAGAAGTTGTATTTTGAATTTGGTGGTCCCAGCTCTTACAGTTTAAGAGGAGATTTTGAACAGAGAGACAAACACAGACAGACACTCAAATATATAAGAGATGTAAAAACCTAAACATTCCCTCTGTCATACTGTTTAAACATACCATTGAGAGATTCTGTCTGTTCAAGAATTCCTAAACAGTAAAAGTTAGGACCACCAAATTCGGTATACAGCTTCCTCTTATCATAACTTAAAACAAGATAAGGGTTTAGTTGTGCCAGGAAAATGGGATGTGCCTGGAGTGGGATTGCTTCTCATAAAGCCATACAGAAAAAAGACAGAATCACCAAGTAGGTGAAATGGGCTGGCTGGGGGTGCCCACCTGCCCCCCCATCCCCAGTTCAGGACGGCTGCAGCCCCGAGTCTCCCCCAGGTGCCCTTTAGGGAGGGTGGAGGGGGGCTGAGGCTTCCCTTTCCCCCAGTTCATATGGGAACATTGTTGGCTGTTCACTCCCTGATGAAAGGGAGGGGAAAGTGCAGAGCTTGCTGCATTCCCCACTCTAGCTAGGGACCACAAGGGGCAGACGAACTTGGACGTGGCACAGCTGGGCAACATGCATCCCTTCCACGGCTGTGCCCTTTGCTGCAGCCATGGAGAGGCACTTGTCATCTATCCCTAAGCTTCTGCAGTGAGTGAGGGTTGGAGTAGTCATCTCTCCCTGGGGCAATCTGCATATTGAACCCCTTCATCCCAGGCTCACCTCAGAATAGGGATGTCAATGGTTAACTTGTTAACAGGGGCCCAGCTGGCTGGAGCAGCCCACCACACCATGGGAAGGGGAGACACTCCAGCCCAACCAGAGCAGCCGCTGCCCACAGTGAGAGGATGCTCCAGCCCTGTCAGCCCCCTGCTGCCCTCATTTAAGTAGTTAATTGATTAAACAGGATTTTACATCCCTACCCCAGAACAATGATTTCACTATTGTGGCTCTTTTGGGTAATGTTGCTCACTTATTTAGCTCCTGAACCACTGAGGACAGAGTATTACTGTCTTAGACATAGAACTAAGAGTTGGGAAATCTGGCTTCTAATTTTGGCAATTTGCTGACCTTCCCCTCAGTGTGCCACAAACTACAAAATACGGCTGCTGCCTGATGTGGGCTGCAAGGCTGGTTTAACATTCAAGAGAGACTTCTGGCTCAGGTACTTGATGAGATGGAAATTAGGTGAAGTACAGAATTATAGAAAGGCTGGTCTCACCCCAACAGCGATGGGAGTGGGATGATGAGATCAGCTGGAATGAGTGCATAGCAAGCAATTGTGAATTGTATTGTAAATTAAATGGGGGATTTTTTCTGTGTTAGGAGGCAAGTTATGTTTTGCATCTGCTAATGTCTGCAGAACAAAGATGTGAAGAATTTGAGCAATACACGTATGTATGGGTATGCATAAACATTGCTAGTGTGATGCCTGCACATTTTCTGACCGCATATATAAGATCTTAAAACTTCATGTTACAAAGTATAATTTACTCCCCCCTCCCACTTTTTTCCCAGTTATGAAGTGCAGTTGGAAAGCAAAGTCAGAAGAAAAGGTCTTGGCAAGTTTCTCATACAGATTCTGCAACTCATGGCGAACAGGTGAGTTGCAGTTCTACATGGCATGTAAAGTCTAACTTGAAATAATTGTCACTTTCATAGCCTTCAGTTTAAAGTGTCTATTTGTCAAAAAGAAGATTAAGGGGAACATGTGGGGTACCAAAAGTTCCTTTAGCATTATGGAGAAAGGCAGAACAAGAACCAATCACGAGACCGGGACAGCTATAACCACCCCCCCTTGAGCACTGGCTCCCGCCTCTCTCTCCTGCACTGCTGTCTCTGTAGGAGGCAGCAAGCAGGGGGCAGGCGACTCCACAGGAGCTAGTACATGCGGAGAGCTGGCTTAAAAGCTGGCTCCTCATGCGTATCAGCTTCTGCCTGTCTCTCCCCATCCCCAACCCGCTCTGCTGCTTCTGATATAGAGGCAGCAATGCAGGGACAGGGGAGGCGGCTGCATGGAAGCCAGTATACACAGGGAGCGGGCTTGAAATCTGGCTTCTTGCATGTACCGGCTCCTGCCTGTCCCCCTTGTGCCTGCTGCCTTTCTATCAGAGGCTGCTGCTTCTGATACAGAGGCAGCAAAGGGAGGGATTGTGTGTAGTTGTTAGGATTAAGTGATGAGCCCAGGCTTATCAGTTAATTGTATAAACGACTACACGCTAACATCCCTAGCACTGGCTGGAGCATTTCAACCAGGTACCAGTTACATTCAGCCCAAAAATTCTTCCAGAAAGGCAGCTAGTCTTGAATCTGTTAAGAGATGGAGAATCTGCCACTTCCCTTGGTAACGTGTTCCAAAGTTAATCACCCTCACAATTAAAAAAAAAAAGTGTGAAACCAAATATTAGGAAAAACGATTTAGTGAACAAATCATGTGTTGTCAGAGTGTGTTCGGCTGTATAAATAACATTTGTAGTCTGAGATCTGTGTCTTGCAAACACATAATGCCTTGGTTACATACACAAGTTCCCTGGCATTTAACTATACTAGTGTAATTAAAGTGATGTAACCCTCCTAGTGTGGGTTCAGTTACATTGGTTTAAAAGTGCTTATACCAGTACAGCTATTCCTATCTGAGCAAGGGAATGTTTAACACAACTTTATACTGCTATAACTGCACCTGTCCACATTAGGGATTGTACTGGTGTAATAATATATTGGTGAAAATCACTTCCCAACCTGTTATAATAAATAGCTGCCCAAGACAGAGTGCTCCCCTGTGATTATGCACTAGATTTTCCTGGTGTTGCTCGGGTCTTTCAGGGCAGGGGGCTGGTGGTGTGCAGGGTGCAGAAATTAGGGCAGGCTTTGGGGAGCTCAGGGCAAGTAGTGGAGGGCGCAGGAGTCAGGACAAGTGGTAGGAGTGCAGAAATCAGGGCAGGGGCTAGAAAGTCAGGGGGCTCACTAGGGCCGCCTGCAGTGGCAAGGACAGCTCCGCAGCTATGGCCTCATTGGCTCCTCCTGGAGGGAAGGGAGCTGCGGTGTCTGGCTCCTACCACCAGCTCCTCCAATGGGTGGGGTCAGGGCTGTGGTGCCTGTGCCCTGCCCTGGCTGCTGGCTTCTATCTACTCTTTGTTGCCTGCCCTTTGTTTCCTATCTTTTAACCAGTTATCAATCCATAAGAGGACCTTCCCTCTTATCCCATGACTGCTTATTTTGCTTACTTTGTCAAAGGCTTTCTGGAAATCTAAGTATGCTATGTCCACTGGAACCCTATTGTCTACACACCTGTTGACTCCCCTCAAAGAATTCTAGTAGATTGGTGAGGCATGATTTTCCTTTACAGAAACCATGTTGACTTTACCCCAACAATTTATGTTCATCTATGTATCTGATTGTTCACCCATTTAGCCCAGTATTGAAGTTAGACTTATCAGCACGTAATTGCCAAGACCATTTCTAAAGCTCTTTTAAAAAATTGGCATCATGTTAACTATCCTTCTGTCATTTGGTACAGAAGATGATTTAAAGGATAGGTTACAAATCGTAGTTAGTAGTTTTGCAGTTTCGCATTTGAATTCTTTCAGAACCCTTGGGTGAATGCCATCTGGTCCTGATGACTTATTACTGTTAAGTTTATCACTTTGTTCCAAAACCTCTAATGACACCTCAGTCTGGGTACGTCTACACTTGCCCCCTAGTTCGAACTAGGGAGGCAAATGAAGGCAACCAAAGTTGCTAATGAAGCACGGGATTTAAATATCCTGCGCTTTATTAGCATAGTCGCAGCCGGTCACCATTTTGGAAATTGACTAGCCTGATTTAACTTGCTGTGTATAGATGCGGTACTCCGAGAAAAAACCCTTAACTCGAATTAACTGGTTGGAGTACTGGTTAATTAAAGTGAAGGGCTTTTCTCGGAGTACCAGTTAATTCGAGTTAAGGGTTTTTTCTCGGAGTACCGCATCTATACACAGCAAGTTAAATCAGGCTAGTCAATTTCCAAAATGGCGACTGGCCGCGACTATGCTAATCAAGCGCGGGATATTTAAATCCCGCGCTTCGTTAGCAACTTCATAGAATCATAGAATACTAGGACCGGAAGGGACCTCAAGAAGTCGTCGAGTTCAGTCCCCTGCCCTCGTGGCAGGACCAAATACTTTCTAGACCATCCCTGATAGACATTTATCTAACCTACTCTTAAATATCTCCACAGATGGAGATTCCACAACCTCCCTGGGCAATTTATTCCAGTGTTTGACTACCCTGACAGTTAGGAACTTTTTCCTAATGTTCAACCTAAACCTTCCTTGCTGCAGTTTAAGCCCATTGCTTCTTATTCTATCCCCAGAGGCCAAGATGAACAAGTTTTCTCCCTCCTCCTTATGACACCCTTTTAGATACCTGAAAACTGCTATCATGTCCCCCCTCAATCTTCTCTTTTCTAAACTAAACCAACCTAATTCCTTCAGCCTTCCCTCATAGGTCATGTTCTCTAGACCTTTAATCAGTCTCGTTTCTCTTCTCTGGACCCTCTCCAATTTCTCCACATCTTTCTTGAAATGCGGTGCCCAGAACTGAACACAATACAGTACTCCAATTGAGGCCTAACCAGCGCAGAGTAGAGCGGAAGAATGACTTCTCGTGTCTTGCTCACAACTTCAGTCGCCTTCATTTGCCTCCCTAGTTCAAACTAGGGGGCAAGTGTAGACGTACCCTCTGGGACAGTTCCTCAGATTTGTTACCTAAAAAAAATGCCTTGAGTTTGGGAATCTCCCTCGCGTCTTCAGCAGTGAAAATCGCTGCAAAGAATTCATTTAGTTTCTTCACAATGACTTTATCATCCTTGACTGCTCCTTTAGCATCCTGCTCCTGATATACTTAAAAAAATTGCTATTACTTTTTGAGTTTTTGGCTAGCTGTTCTTCAGATTCCTTTTTGGCCTTCTTAATTTTATTCTTACACTTTGACAGAGTTTCTGCTCCTATTTTCCTCACTAGGATTTAACTTCCACTCTTTGAACTATGCGTATTTATCTCTCTCTGCTTCTTTTACTTTGTTGTTAAGCTATGGTGGCACTTTTTTGGTTCTTATTATCTAAAACTTTTAAGTGACTGTAGACCATGCCTTAGCTATATCTTATCTTGTCTTTGAGTTGTCCTGCTAAAGTCAACAAGACAACTTTCATGTGCAAAGTTTAGCAGGCATATAAGTGTTAACAGGTCAGTCCCTGAAATGTTGCTTTGCTGCATTTGGAGCCCAATCTCTACCCAGCGGAATGGTGCCACGTCCTGGGAACCTGGAAGTGGAACTGACAGAAAAATAAGATTAAAAGTGACTAAGGCTTGGTCTTCACTACAGCATTTAGTTGACATAAAGCAGCTTACATTGACCTAATTATGTCAGGGTACACACTACCACCTTATTGCTGCTGATATAAGTACCCAACTACATTGACAACTCCATTTCCACAAGAAGCACAGGGCTTATGAGGTGGTGTTAAAGTGATGCAAGGTCTGTGTGGACACTGATACTTATATCAGAAGTTGGCTCTCTTGTCAACTTCACATCTCTACCACAGAGTCATGAAATTGACAAGAACACTGGACTGTCACCCCTGGAGCAGGTGGGGTCCAACTGTCCCATAGGCTCCCTACTCCCAACCAGACTGTGTCCACCCCACTCAGAGCCACATGGCCCCCCCAAGTCACAGCTCTCCCAGTACAGTTGCTGCCTGGGCTCCAAGCTCTGAGCTGAATTGTGCCCACTTGGCTCCCTGCTCCCAGGTTGACTGCCCATTTGGCTACCCAATCTCAGATGGGCTGTGTTCTAAGCTTCCCACAGGGGGGCCCAGCAGCTGCCTGGAGGCTTCCAGCTCACCTCAGGATCCTTAGGTGTCAGTATCCCTTAGATTTCTTTTGTATTATTCCTTTGATTCTGACGGTTGTACCTTTCTCTTGCCTTTCAGCACACAGATGAAGAAAGTCATGCTAACAGTATTTAAACACAATCATGGGGCCTATCAATTCTTCAGAGAAGCGTTACAGTAAGGAACTTACCCTAATTTTGGTTTTCCTGCTTTCCATGGGGGGAGGTCGGTGGGATAGCCTGTTATTTATTTAATATGGACACTGACTGCTCCGTCATTTCCATTTGTAACACGTTGTTCACACAACTGTCTTTCAGTGCTATGGCAACGTAACGCTAAAGGGGAGAGGCCGTGGGGACGGTAGACTAGGATGGAAGGGAATGGGTGGTGGTGATAAGGACGGGTGCACGAGGACCTGGCCATCTACTCACTACTTAAAGGCAGCATAGAGAGGTGGGTTTTCAAGTCTCTCTGCTTCCCTTGCTTACTAGCAGCCCTTCTTGTAAGCTACCTCCCAGCCCGAGTTACAGAAGTAGCTCCATTGGAACTGAATTGCATAAGTTATAGCCAACGCTTGTTCCCTTGTCATTTGAGCTTTCTTTTTATTGTCCCTGTAGTGAAGAGGAGGGTTATTTTAGCTACTGACTCTCTAGCACATTTAATCTACAAAGCTCATAGTTAACCATGACTACCCGTTTTACAGTTGAACCAAGAGGGAAAATGACTTGAGAATAGATCCAGTCTCTCCCCATCCCCCAGTCCTGTGCCCTTTCTGTAGGGTCATACTGTCTAAAACTATATTGTCTTTAGAGTGGTTCTTGGATCTCATAGGTAATTCTTGCCTAGAGAAAAAAGTGAGAGGGGAAGAAACACATTTGCCAACTAAAATTGGATGCAGCCACACTCAAATGCTTCTTTTTGGATGATGTGTTTGTTATCACTTCAGACTTAGCAACAGTGTTTTGCTCTTCTCCATCAGTTTTCATTCCCCATTGTGTATGCCATGCTGGAGGACAAGGAGGGGATTTAGATAATGCAAGGATCATATAAGAGAGCAGAGATCCCTGGCTAGGAGGAGGCGCATCCAGCCAGTTTGAGGCCACCCTGCTGCTGAATGGCTCCTATGACAGCACAAGGAGCCTTCTCCAGTACCACTGTCCCTTGAGTGATTGACAGCAGAGCTGCAGAGGTTTTCCTGCACTGCCACAGGGCCTGTGGTACATGATCTCTGCATCCCTATAAGCAGGTGGAAGAAGCTGCTGTGGTCCTGGTGGAAAGAGCAGAGTCCTGGCTGGATGGGGTCTCTTCTCTGTCTCCCCTTCCTCTTTTTGTGCTTATAGGGATCCAGGATCACTGGTCATGCAGCAGTGCAGGTAGCCCTGTGCAGCTCTAGAGCAGAGGCCTCCCCAGCCAGAACTGTGGACTAAAGCAGAGATCCCCCTCCCCCCAGCCAGAACTGTGGACTAAAGCAGAGATCCCCCTCCCCCCAGCCAGAACTGTGGACTAGAGCAGAGACCCTCCCTCCCCCCAGCCAGAACTGTGGACTAGTTAACCAGTTAAACAAATGTTTAACCAGTTAACCACTTAAATGGGTCAGGCAAGGGGAAGTTCCAGCCCAGCTGGTCTGGAGCAGCCTGTAGCATGGCATGGTGGGCTGGCTGGACTGAAGTGACTCCTGCCCACAGGGATGGATGGGGGGCTGGTCCAGCCTGGCTGGGCCACCGGCTAATTGTAACTGGTATGCATTACCCTGTAATGCTTACTGGTTAGCTATTCAGATCCCTAGTTCCCAGCCTGCTGCTGAATGGCTCCTGATTCTTGATTAGCCAAACTTCTGATTAGCCAAATAAAATCTGTGTTCCCATGCTATTTGGATAATTGAGAGTAGACTGAACCAGGGCATTATGAGTGCAGGACCTCACCTTTACAATCCATCAAATGCAGAAGTAGGCAGAAATCTATACTCTGATTCCTTTTTGTGAATTGAGGCTAATGCAGAGAAGAGTGCAATGGCTCTAGATAACCCAGTAAGTGTACCATTGGCAGAGGTCAGGGCAAGATCCCTAATGCTAACTGAAAGTAATTAATGTTAAGCAGTCTCTAACATGAGTTGTTTCCTAAATTCCTAGGTGCTAGGAAGTAGCTTCTCTCTCTCTCTTTGTTTTGTACCTCTGTAGGTTTGAAATTGATGACACCTCGCCCAGCATGTCTGGCTGCTGCGGGGATGACTGCTCCTATGAGATCCTCAGCCGAAGAACTAAATTTGGTGAGAGCCAGCACTCTCACTCGGGCAGCCACTGTGGAGGCTGCTGCCACTGAGTTTGAACCACCTCTGTGTAGTCCTTCTCACAACACATACCTTCATCTTCCTTCCCTGCCATCCCCATCCTCACATACTCCTTAAGATAGGCCACTGCCTGCCTCTCAGTCAAGAGACTTAGACCACATTCCGGAGCGTGGATGAAATTGCTCTCCTCTGTGCAGGAGGCACTAGAAATCAAAGTCCTATCCAGCTCTTGGACCTAGTGCTGTGACCTCAGAAAGGAAGCACCAGACGTGTCAATCTGAGGACACTAAATGAAAGCAACTTCAAAGCATAGGTTAAGGAAGCGGCGGGGCATGCAATGAGGACAGTGAGCCAGTAGCTTCTCTTTCCCCCAGTATCCCTCCATTCAACCTACGAGATGTAAATGGTTTGGAGCAAGAGCAATGACATGGCTTTATTACCCACGTCTCAATCCCTGCATATACCATCTGAGGATTAACATTGTTCTTTCCCAAGGTGCTCCATAGAGCTTTAGAACCAATTACAATGCAAATACAAGATTCTGAGCCAAAAATAACCCAGGCATATCTTAGAACCTTTGAGAATGTTTTTATGCTTCACTCAACCCTCATGGGTCCCAAGTTCAGGGTTCCATGTAACACCTGTAACACCTTAATGGTGATGGCTTCTGCAGAAGAAATGCAGAGAGTCATGCTCAGGTATTGATGGGCAATTTCCAGCTCTTCCTGGCTGTAAAATGTAAGATACAGCCTGTAACTTTTGGGATCTTAAGATGGATGAAAAAACACACCCCAACAACTTTGTGAGCAAAACTGCTTTCACTTTCTTTGCTAGAGCAAGGAGAGTCTGTTTCATGTTTTTGTTTCCCTGCAGTTGGTACCAAGTACTAAAAAGAAATAGAAATGGATTGTAAGATCAGTGCATTGGGAACATTTGTGGCTCAGCTGAAATGCCCATGGCCTGCCAATTACATGTAGCAGTCAAGGATTGAGTGTAGAAGAGCAGTGGCTTTCAGTCCGAGGCTGTCATGCCACAGTCCTGTTGCTTTTTTGTGTTCTAGCTATCGCGTGCTCTCCACTGAAGCAAGGCAGAACTGGGAGCTCTGTAAGGCTGAGGGAGCTAGCAGTGGTAATGGGCTTACTTGATTGTACTGACTGTGTGTGATCAGTAATAGTCAGATCTCATGTGAGGGCCCTATCCTCTCTGCAGTGGCTGCTCTGCACTGTTAGAGCATGTGTCTAAGCTGGAAACTTCTGTGTTCTGCAGACACCCCAGTCAAGTAATTTTTCTTCTCCGTGCCTCAGTTTCCTCATCTGTAACATCAGGATTGTACTGACCCAGCTAATGTCTGTAAACACTTTACAATACGTGGCTGGCATGTGCTAGGAAGCACATAATCTTTCTGGCTGAGTATAACCCAAGGAGGAGAGGGTGGAGAAGGGCTTTCTCCACACCGGTGCTGGCTGGAACAAGTTACATAACTTAGTGCTCTACTGGAAACATGTTGAGAATCAGGTTAGCATAAAGGATCCATAATGTAGGACCAGCCATGGTCTGTTGACTTAATGGAAGGGAGGTTGTAGAAAGCAGTCAGTGGTAGAAACGGTCTGAATCTTGTGATTTTTTTTTTTAAGGCCTCTCTATAACTTTTTCTTTCTTCTCAAGGATAAGAAACAGTCATGGAGTCTGTGACTCCTTTTTATTCTTAAGCTACTCACAGAAGTCCCACCCCACTCCATGGGGGAGGACAGTTCTCGTCTCCCATACACCTAAGGGCAGGCCAGTGGCTCACCGCTTGAGTTCCAGCCTCTATTTATACCAAATCCAAACCCTTTCAGTAGGAACAGCAGCAAGTTCCTTTTTGCAGCAGATGCCTTTTGCCCTTCCTCAGAGCATGGCTTCCCATTCTGAGCCAGGGAGTAGGAGGGCACCTTTCACCTCAATGAGGTGTGTTGGCATCTTCACTTTGGGGCTCCTGGTGGGGCCCAGCTGGAGTCGACGGGACTTTAAATCTCCTTTGTCTCAGAGCAGTTGTTGTGGTAAAGTTCTTTGTCTTCATCTTATCAGGTGCCTCTGTTCCGAGTAGAACTTTTATCTGCATTGCACCCATTGGGGGGTTCAGACTTATACTTGTTCCAGCCATGGGGAGTAGGACCTCTGCTTGTCTCATACCAGATGTTGCACCTATAGGGGAGTAATGACCTCTACCTGCATTGCACATGCTGGGGTAGGACTTCATCTTGCGCTAAGTATTGCACCTGCTAGTGGGTAGGACCTCTATCCATGTTGCGCCATGCACACCCAGTTTCAAATACCTTCCACAGTTAGATCTGATGCATTTGTTAAGTGTTGCCATTCTTTGCCCATCCCATCTTCCAGTTGGTCCAGTATAGGCTCCTTTGTTTTTGGTCCCTCCCCTTCAGCAATCATTTTTATCTCCGCTATTCCCAGACTCCCATGCCCTGTGGCAGCCCCGGCACTTCACTGCCAGAGTCTAGATGCAGGAGTGCTTTGCTTTATCTGCCATAGTTAGACAGTTTAAACTCAGCTGCAATTTAGCCTCTTTCTGGGGTGAGAGAGTTCTCTGTTGGAATTGTGAAATGTATCCAATTGAGCTAGCTACTTTCTAGCTCTGAAAGCCACCATTCACAGGGCTTGCTGCATGGAAACATAATATGGACATGATTTTTCAGGGAGTCAAACATCCTATTTACAGGGGGAATTGGACACACAATTTTGATAGGCACATGTGAAATTCCAGCCATCGCTCTTCTACAAAGGCATGTTATTTAGGCCCAGGGAATAACCTGTTTGTTTTTATAGGGATGGTTTTTTCCTTGAAACCTGCTTCTCTCTTTCTAACCATTTGCATCCATCCACCGCTGCCAAGTTGCACTTTGAGAGAAAGATGCTTTAAACTTTGGCCTACACAACCCTGCAATTTCAGATCTCAGCGAACAGAAGTGTTCATTTTGAAGGGAGATTGGGGCAGAAATGGGATAAATCCTGCTGTTCACTCTTCAGATTTGCTGGGCATGGAAGCCAGGATTTTTGAAGGGACTAGTGATTTTGGGTATACCTCTATTTATATTCTTAACTCAGACACCTGAAAAGAGGCCTTGTTTGCAGAAAGTACTGAACATCGGGTCTCTGAGGCCTCTCTAGATGGGCAGAATCAAAAATAAACTAGTCACTGTAGAAAATGTTACTGACCCATGCACACTTTTCTCCCTTTGCTGTGGCTGACATCTTTCAAACACAAATGCAGACCAATTAACCTTCAGTTTGTGCTGTAGGGGATCAACAATGACATGAAAGTTTCCACCCATTTATGAGGGATTTTTAAGACTTTTTTTCTGCATCAGCAATGTCCAGTTTCATTTGCTGGCAGTGTTTAGTATGCACCCAGTCATTAAACTGATGGGAGATGCTTTCTTAATGACCACTACATCTCCTACTTTGCTCAAGGTCAGAGGCATTCAATCTCAGTAGTGCGATTATTTTGGATTGTCTCATCCTGTCTTGACCAGTTCAGTCTGGTTAATGCTTGTGGCTACAGTGTTTAATGTTGCCTCAACTTTTAAGAGTGTTTCTCTCTCATGTCTGACTTCTCCTGCAGTGTGGACATGACAGATGGTGCTGCATCTCCTCAGTGCCTCCCTTGTACATGAAAGCCTTAGGCCCCTACTGCTGCTGCCTTTTCTGGCTCTTTACACCAGCCATGGGCTTACATCCTCTTCTACGTAGCCATCTGTGATTGCTGCTGCTTTTGTCACCCCCTGCTTAAACGCTGCCCCTCTGCTCTATGCCTCTGAGGGCAGAGGAACCACTGCTGGCAACCAGGGAGCATCTGTTCCTGAATCAAAATCATCACAATCCCTTAAATGCTGAAGACCCTATAAACTGCAAGTCAGCTTCTGTTTGTGCTCAACTTCCACTTCCTGCCTATCCATCAGACAGGCTAAACTCCCCACCAGAATGGCATCCCCTTTTCAGCCAAATGAGAAACCCTTCCTCCTCCTTTCTAACAAGGTGCATCAGCAGCCCACATTAGCCCTCTTTCTCCCACCCTTTAGCAAAGCCTTGTCACCACATTATCAATGACAGAGGATTACTTTGGCACCACGTTTTAGCTACAAAGCAGGATGCATTTTCGTGGCACATGGATGGGGAGCATCTAGTGCAGGGGTGGGCAAGATGCAGCCTGCGGGCCGAATCTGGCCTGCCAAGCCATTTGCTCCCACCCTCAGCCCATCCTGCCAATCTGAGATCTGGGGGTGGGGAAGTGTGCAAAGTCATTCACTCTTCAAAGTGGCTGGTGGCTCCCTCCCCCGCCAGGGGTGCATAGCACCTAGAGGGAGCCACCAGCCATTTTGAACAGCAAATGACTTCACACACTCCCTTGCCCCCAGGTCCCAATTAGCCTGGAGAGTGCGTGAAGTCTCCTTCCCCCACCAGGGACGTGTGGTGTCTAGAGGGAACTGCTCAAGGCCCCGTCCCTTCCGGGGTGGAAAGTGGAGCCGGCCTGCGACCATGAACCAAAGTTCATGAAGTGGCCCCCCTGCAAAAATGATTGCCCATCCCTGATCTAGTGCTATTCCTCTGCTGTTATGTCTGAGATGATTGTGACTCTGGTTTATTAGCTAAATCCTAAGATGGTTTTAACTCCTTGGCACCTAGTATTTGTCTTTCAGTGGACACGTGTATCATTCTGTTGATATTGGGTTTTAATTAATATCAAAGAACACAGAAGCATTTGAAGGAGTCAAACTGCATTAAGAATTGCATAGACTTTGTATAGGGAAATTTAATTTGAAACCTGACAACTTTTGGCCTGTAGTTTTGGCATCTATGTCCCAATCAGATTTGTACTGAAAAATCTAGCACTATGTAGGCCAGACACTTGACTCTGTACAGTCTAAACCTTATTTTGACTCCTTAGTCCAACTCAGTCAAAGCACTTCGTGCCTGCTTGACACTAAGCGTGTTCTCTGATACTTTCCCACATAGGGAAGCTTTGCTGAATCTGGGTAGCTCTCTGCCTGGCAGTGAATTCCAACAAATACAAGGATTCTAGGGTTTTTAATGATTCCCTTGCCATTTTTTCCTTGACCTAGTCTCCTTTTATAACAGCCCAATAACTACTCTGTGGCATGTGTGATAGTGGGTGAATTTTATAACTAGCTGCAGTTAGGCCTGCTTAAAAAAGTAAAAGTAATTTCCCTTCTTGGCAGTCTCCTTACTCTCCCCACTGTCTCTGCCTATCGTAAATGGAGTCACCAGTTAGATCCCAAAGCAAATTGATGTGAGTGTGTGATACTTTCCTTTAGCCATCTCTTTACCAGCTCATTCTCTTCATTGTGAAAAGACAGACAGGTGGAAGGAGTGGAAGGTTCTAAAACAACCCCGATTTTTTTATTTTGTTCTTTTTAAAGAAAATTCCTCCCTTATTCCCTTTTTACATGAGGGACTCTTACCTCCTCTCTTCCTCTTTTGCTCCAGTTTATTCTAACTATGGCTAAACAAAAAGGGCTCCTCAGAAAATTCCTGTCTCCCTTGTCCCCTTTAATGAATATATTCTTTGACGTAGCAAGTTGATCTATACTTTTGTTTGTCTTCTTGGTACCTTTTGAGGTAGGATCTCATGCCAAGTCTAGTTTGACAGACATAGCTGACCTGTTTGTACTGTATCATTTGTACTGGGGCAGGGCATGTTAAGTTTTTTCCCTAAGCCTTGTCTCTCTTTATTTCACTTTTTACGTTGATCATGTGTTGGGACTTCTGCGTGCGTGTGCATGTGTAAGGTCATTTTATTTGCGTTTTTTCCCCTTTCCGTTTCTAAAGGAAAATTTAAAATAAAACCTCACTTCTGATGATGTTGGGTTTTTTTTAACTAGTAATTATTCTCACTGGAATCAAAGGGAAAAAGCTAATCTTTTTGCATTGGTTTTATTTGTACGTTACAAATAAAAACAGTTTGTTCAATGTCTGGTGTATTTTCTGCTGAAGGGGTGGGGCAGCAAAGCTTATAGAGGTAGAGAAAACTTGATTCCTGAGTGGATTGGGGGAGGGTAGGTGGGTGGGATCAGGACACTTCCATGTTGTACCAATCTCTGGGAGAGGAGTGAGGTCTAATGTGTTAGAACAGGGCCCCTGAGAGTCAGTACTCCTGGTTTCCATCACCTCCTTTAGGAGATGGTGTGCTTTGGAAATATTAAATGCAGAGGGCAAGATTCCAGCTTTCTCTTCTCCTCTATGGGAGAGGAATGGGGTCTAATGGTTAGAGCAGGTGGTCAGGGGTCAGGACACCTGGCTGTGGGTGGGAAATGGGACCTAAAGGTTGGAGAAAAGTGGGGCTGAGAGCCAGGACTCCTGGATTTTATTTCTAAGTGATGACCCAAATTACATAAACCTTTTTCTTCTGAGATACATAGTGAGTTTGTAATTTCAGAGTAGTTTCAGGTTTCATGCCATGTTTTCCTAAAATAGCTTTTTTTTCCCTCCCCAGTTTCCGTGTGAAAGATCAGCCACAAAAAGATTTAACTATTTTTACTTTGGGAACGAATGAAACGGAATAGACAGCAAGCATTGTAGGATGCATGAAGTGTATTGAAAGGAGATTCTTACCCTTTGCTTACTGGGGGCTAAGGAAAATGATGGGAATTAGTATTAGACCAAAGTAGTTGTAGACTGGAGGCACTTAAACTTAATAAAAGCTGTTTGCCTACCTTTATAAATGCAGTTTTTTATCTTTCTCTCAGCTATGTTAAAACTAAAATTGCCTCTCTGCATTTACAGGTAGAAAGATTAGTATGTCTTGTAGATATTTTTGTAAGGCCAGAAGGGCGCATTAGATCATGTAGTGTGAGCTCCTATAGCACAAGCAATAGAATTTCACCCTGTTATTCCTGTAATAAGCCCAATAATTCACTTGTTGTTAAAGTCTTTGTTTTCCATTAAGGCATCCAGTCTTGATCTGAAGATGGCAAGAGAAGAAGAATCTACCACTGTCCCAGGGAAATTTGTTTCAGTGGTTAATCACCTTTGGTGGGATTGCTGACAGAACTTTTTGGGCCCCTGGGCAAGGTTGCAGCGGGGAGGGGAGGAGAGCCAGGCTCTGGGTCCCTGAAAGGGGCAGGGCCTTGGATGGGAGCAGGGCTGGGGTTAGTGCCCCCCAGCCAGACCTTCAGTGTTGCCTAGCCTACACCACTTTGGGTTCCAGTCACTTAGCAATGGCAGAGAGGGGTCTTGGACAGGGGTCTTTTTAAGTGGCTGGACTCTGGGGCAGCTTCACCTTTTGCTGCTCCCACCTCACCCCAGCAGTAGCCCTGACCTTAATTGTTACAAGGCCACACTACTTCTAATTATGGGTACACTTAACGAGTGTTCTTTGCAGGTGCCTGAGGCACAGCAATGGAGTTTTCCCCTTTTCTAGTGGATGAGGGTTAATTTAATGGAACATTCCTGGTTTCCCAGGCTGTTGAATGGGAGCTAAATTGTGAGAGTCATAAGCAAAGCTGCTTGTTTACTTGTTATACTTGACATGTACAAAAAAAAGTGATTTCCTCTGTTCTATATTTCTGTATTCTTTTAACCTTTGTAAAGTCTGGGTACAGTCAGGAAATAGACCAAACTACCACTATTGCCAACCAATCATGTCACATTTGTTCTGATCACCAATTACCATTTGTGTAAAGTGCCCTGTTTTATGTCTCTGTATGGATACAGAGTAGGCTTTGTTGTAATGCAAACAGTCTGTGAACAGGTCAGTTCTTTGCCCTGAAGAACTCACCATTTTGGTAGACCAGCGGTTCCCAACCTTTTCCAGATGGGGACCCATTTTGACAATTCAGGAAGACTTAGTGACCCTAGGCAATTCAAAAACGGGGGGAGAAGGGAGGACAGAGCCACCTGGGGAGACACTTGGCGACCCTTTTGAAATGGAATGGTGACCCATATTTGGGTCCCAACCCATAGGTTGGGAAACCCTATGGTAGACAAAAGGGCAGGCAGGAAAATTGAGGTGCAGAAAGGGAAAGAAACTGTGGCACATGTCAAATGGAAGACAGGCATTCTGAGTGGCAGTCTTGTGGACAATCCTGCATCAAAAGAGTTTTCTGTCTTCTAGCAACCATACAACTTGCCCCGAAGGTAAATCAAGCTGCTGGATGGCAAGGAAGGAGGCCTTGCCCGGAAAAAGAACTGAGCCCTGCATCAGGACAGGAGAGCGAGTACAGTGTATGCAATGTGGAGGGAGGAAAGTGCCTGTCCATAAATTATTTGATGGGGATGGGGAGAGGGGATTTAATGAATAAAAAAGCTCCATTAAGACACCAAAAAAACTGATATGAAGGGAGGAGACATGGTGCTAATGGAATCAGCCGTGGCCCAAACACACATTGCACGAGGGTAAATGTGGTGGAAATTGAGGTATTTAAATACTTCATGTAGATTGCTTTCTACCTGCCCTCTGTGGGAGTGATAGTTTGCTTGGAATTTGATTTCCTTTGCATGGCAGGTGGCTCCAGCTGCATGTCATGGGGAGAGCATAGGCTGAGACACACGAGCACTAACCAAGGTGAAATTGATGGCTGTGACAGGAAGATGCCATTTAGAAGCACTTCCTATGGACAATGGATGGACCCACCTCATCAGACTCTTTGTTTGCTGATCCACATCTGCTAGAAAATGGAGAGGGATGCCAGGATGTAGTCCCCTATACAGTCTGCATATTTACACTTGGGAGGACTGAACAGGGGAAGATAGGAAGAGAAGTTAGTGGTAACAGCTAGATGGCTCAGCCCTGCTGTGATAAGGTCTGTGCAAAGGAGATGCCAGCCCTTGGAGAGCTTGCATATTTGATACAGATTCGTGCACTCTGAGGCTAGAAAGGATTGCTCTGATCATCCAGTCCGTGGGTGGGGGAACTTTTTCAATTAGGGGCCACTAGCCAACAGAAAAATCAGTCCAGGGCCACACAAGCAAAAAACAAATCCCTCATTACTTATGTGCTCCCAGTGCTCCTAGGACGGGAAGAAAAAACTCCACTCCTCACTCACACTTAATTCAGCATGCAACATGCTTGAGCCTTAAGACTCAGGGCTTCCAGCCCACAGAGCAAAAACTTGTCATGAACCAGTTCAAATTAAGCCTGGGGCTGGATCTAGCCTGCAGGCCATAGGTTCCCCACCCCTGATTTAGTCTGAATTAGTCTGTACACAGAAGCTGTAGATTTTTTTGCCTTGGAAGCTAGATTAAAACATGGCATTTTAAGTGATTTAATCCCCTATGAAAGACTCCATGTGATGAAGTCCACCACCTCCCTGGTGACTCTTGTATTTAATCACCTTTACTGCTAGGAAGTTATGTCCTATTTCATTTGTCTCCACTGACACCTCCCTCTCAAGCCTGGTTATTTTGCTTCACCACAACAGTGGGAAGCAAAGCAGCCCAGCTCCCTGGCTGGCTTGGGAGATGGCAGCAGAGTGGGCCAAATTTGTGTGTCACTCCACTTCCCTGTGGCTCCTGTCGCTGTAGTGAGTGCTGGGGGGTCTGATCCCTGTTGTCAGCCCCAGCCCACCAGGGCCCTGTGGGCTAACCTGAGTGTGGGGGACTTTCACATCCCTTGGACAGTTGGGATGATTCCATGGCACCCCCCTGAAATGCAGGGCCCAGGGCAGCGACTCCAAACCAACCTATGGATGGGATGGCTCTGCACACACCTACCCTGGGCCACAGAGATGTGCTGGAAGCAGGGCAGAGTTAGCAGCTGGAAGCTTCAGTGGTGGTGGGAACCCTTGGGGGAGGGGGTGTTAAATCCCCTGAAAGGGGCAGGCGGGGCTGGGAGATGTGCAGAGGGGTGGAACATGTGGAGACTCCTGCCCTTCCTGGCTTGCTAGGAGGATTTGAGGACTGGCACCAGCCCTAAGGTAAATTGGGTTTGAGAACCCTGCCTAACGCTGTTTTGGTCACAGTGGTAAACTCCACTGCCTAGGCATTAGAGAAACCAGAAGCTCCCCCACCACCACTTTAAAACTAGGGATGTTAAATATTGGGTAATTGAATACTTGAGTAACTGCAAGAATTCTTATCAGTTACTCAACTATTCTATAGTCCCTGGGGGCGGGGCTGGCAGTAAGGGTGCTCTGGCCCCACTCCCAGGGAGCCCCCTTCCATTCCACACTACTGCCTCTGTATCAGAGGGAAAGCCTGTTCTATGAGAGGTATCAGGGAAGGGGGAGAAGGGCAGGAGGGCTGCCAAAAAGCAACCTCTGTCCATGGTGGGCCTGAGCTCCCCACGGACAGAGGCTGCTCTGCATCCCACAGAGCAGCTTCTGTCCATGGTGAGCCTAGGTCTGCCACGGATATGGGCTCCTTGCAGCAGCTCCTCTCTGTCGGGGGTCTGAGCTCCTTGCAAACAGAGGCTAGGCAGCAGCATGCAGGGGAAGGTGACACCGTAGAGCCAGAGCTGGGGGAAGCCAGCTCCCCCCATCACTGACTCCTGCTACCCTCTTTGCTGCTTCTGATACAGAGGCAGCAAGAGGCAGGGAGGAAATGCGTGTAGTCGACAAGATAAACCAATAAGCCTAGGTTTATTGGTTAATCTTATAGTCAGCTGCATGTCAACATCCCTATTTAAAACCTCTGAATATTTCTGAAATGTCTTTTCCTGATTGCCCAGCTTGATGAATGTCTGTAGGAGCTCTCGCTGATGGGTGCAACTACCCGATTGACGGTGCCAGCTGCATACACTACAAGCACTCCTGCTTGAACTGGACAGGAAATACTGCATCCCCTGGTCCTGTGGGGGAGAAGAGGCCATGTGTAAACAGTAATGGACAAGCCACAGAAACAAGGCCATCTATGAGCAGATAGCACATGGGAATGCAGGCAAAAAGGGTACAATGGGCCGGCAGCAATGTTCCCTTTAATTTTTTCTATCAATGTGCAGAATAATTTTTATTACTCATCAAGGCATGTGCAGA